GTATAAAATTTAAAGAAGGCGTAATTTGCTACAAAACGAGTACAAGAAATAACTTTTTCCTACATGTTTTCCAAAAAAATATATTTGAATCTATAAAGGCAGTCAAAATCAGGGACAAAAAGGCATAATACTTAAGTAGCTACTTTTTTAGTACATACTTTTACTTAGGGGTCAGAAAGAAGCTCATTAAAAACCGGCATCCTGATGTGACCAAAATGTATTGAGATTAGGTTATGCGATTGTCATTTTAAAACCATACGTAATTAATATGTTTGAATCGAAAACGCATTTCAGAATTCCAGATGACGCTTCATGTGATAGGGAATCTACTGTACGGTCCCATGGCAGTCCAAGTGACAGCCCACGCAGACGCCTTTTCGGGCGATGACTCATCTTGAGAATGTTTCTTACTCCTAGCCGGTAGTTCATGTAACCGTCTCGTCGTCAGGCCTCCCAGTTCAGTGGGCACAGTGGTGGCTTAAACCTTGGTTGGTTTAAACTGCAATGGACTTGCATCGCATCTACCTAAAACCCTCACACCACACACACTATGTAACTGTTGGGACGTCCCGGACGCGAGTTATCACTCGGGCAATACTGACGGTACCAGAACAGAAAGACCTTACTGGTGACCGATTCATGCAGTTACAAGCAACCTTCAAAGGGCGGAGATTAGGCCAGGAAAAAGGAGGCACGCGCAAGCGAGACTGCCCTGGGGCCGGCTTGCCACTATCGGACGGTCACGATGAGGACACATGCACATGCGCGCGTAAGCAAGCGCGCGCACGGCCACTCGTGGAGAGCAAATGGGGAGCAAGGACTACTGGCCCTTAAATGTGCTGCCACCGCTGAAGGCGACAATCTGTTGCTAGAGACGCTGCCGACGACCTGAAAATTCTGCTGCTAGAGACAAGACGTGCTGTTGGCCCAGACGAGCTACCGACGACAGAAGACAACGCTGATGTAAAGGCAGAACTAGTAACAGTAAAGTACTATCTGCTATCCTGTTCTGCCTTCTCTTCCTAACACGTAACTGGGGGACATAGCCAGTTTTGACACAGGAACACACTCGGTTATAACAGTAACATCCAGAAGAGTGACTAAGGTGTCCTGGATTTAGGCGTTGGTGCAGTGGTTGAAGTGGCTAAATGCATGTTTACGGGTGCCACAGTCATGCTAGTCCATGCATGTCTATGAATTGGACTTAAAGAGGGGTCTTGGATCTGCCACCAGAGGATGTTGCTATAAAAGTCCAGGAGCAGTGATCCCACTCCGTGCGAATGTTTGCCTCGCGCGGCTGCTAGCAAGTGCGTAGGCCATAGTTCTGCCTACTCCGGTCTAGTCAACCACCTTCAAGGCTGACTCACCCAGGACCTCACTGTGATGAGTTTCACGCTCACACACTTCGGACACCACCCTTCCCCCCGACACCCCTCGTCCGACACTCAACTTCCTTTTTCATATTCTCTACACAGAATACAGCCTTCCTCCTATCTGGAGTCTCATTCCTTCTTTTCCCACACGAAACCGAGCCTAAAGATCGCAGAGGCAAGAGTTTTCCTTATTAACCTCAGTCCCTGCGATAGTCCCACTAAGAAGGCACCCTTGTGGTTTGACTCTCAGTCCATAGAGAGATTGACTATGGTATAGCTTCAAATTGCGGTCTTTGAGATTGCGACTACTAGCATGTCAAGCTGCTTCAAAAGTGATTCAAATGTAGGGAAAAGTAGAACAAGGCATCTCAAAACCTCTTTCTCCGCCCCACAGTCTAGTGAAAATGGGCGAAGTGGTGGACGTTGTACAGATTGTCCATTTACCAGAAGCCCTTCTTAGGCGTGTTGCATTAGTCACATGCGGCAGAGCAGGCCGCCAGAGGAATTCAACATGCCGATGTGCCCCCTATCGACGTGATTCGATTAACCTGGCTGTCAAATGTTAATCGCATCTTCCTCGTACACCTGTTCGTGTCTTGGCAACTCGGCAGGAACACTTCATTTTCGGTTTAAATGCGAGGGAGCATTTGCAGGGGTTAGTACTTTATTTGCATTCACTTCAAGTATGGAAAATAAGGAAACATTTACAGTCTAAGCTAACAACAATCGACATTGTAACATGTAGGATTGTCGGCAATTCGTTATGCCTCGTTGCCTTTTAGATTTTGTTTTAAATTGTGATCGTATGTGCACAAGGATTCTATTATGACAAGTTTACAAAGGGATCTTGCATAACTTAGCGAATTGTAAAATGCTATATAGAAAGCTATGCACCAAAGTATCTCAAATTCTTTACTTATGGAAACACGCATTCAGTTTTGCTGTCTTCCGTGGCTAGGAAATTGACTTCGAAGTATATCGTTAAATAACCGAAAATTTAACATCGATTTCGTGGGAAGTAACGAAGCTAGGCCGATTGCTAAAAACTAGAGGTGCATCGAAATTCAATCTCAGGAAGCAGGCTTTTTGAATTTCAGTCTCTGTACCACAGAATGGAACGCATTTCAAGCTTGCAAAGTACAAAAAATACTTCCTTGACGGATTAACCCATTTTTCATTAAATGCGAAATCAATTTGAGGGGAGTGTAACATCCTGGATTAAAAAACCAACTAAGAGTTAACCGTTCGACCTCTCAGACAGGATTGGTCGGAAGACCTCACAGGTACTGCATTCACCTACTTACAAGTCGATAAGTAAGAGGTAAAAGCAGTAGGCGGGAATATCCGAGGGACTGAAGATCGTCCATTTGATTCTTCCCAAGCACAACAGGGGACTATAAACGTCCCATAATAGAGAAGACTTTGCGCTTAATTTCAGGGGAATTAGGATTAAGGTAAGGATTGGAGTGAAGCTCATGCGTCATATACCAGAGAACACACGATGTACGCTGGGGGACCCACTGATGAGCCGAACCCCACGCAACTATCCCAGACAGCGGCGCAAGATCGGCGAAACACGCATGTCTGGCCCTTAGCCAGTATCTGTGCTGTTAGTATGTTAACTTCGAGGAAAGGCGTCCTTTGGAAAATGAGTAAATTTATTCGGTAAATTTTCGACACTGGATCTCCAGGTCGTCGTCAGACTTGAGAAAAATGTTCAAAGAACAGGCACCATTTCAAAGTGCTGATATATTCATCTGGTGTGGGCGTTAATTGAGAGTTGCAATTTGCGTTACATCGTGGTGGACATGATAAGCAGTCGCAATGGCGTAATGGCTAATTGGCAAAACACATGGCAAGTCCTTCCTTATATAAGGAACGTGCCTGAACTCGTTGAAGGACCCTTACGGAAACACCAAATACATGCGGTGCACAAATCGGTGGTTACTTTACGCACTCAGCTAGTACACCCTAAGGATAAGGTTGGCTACCTCGATAAGAAAGAAGCTATCTAAAAAATCCCGTGTGAAGCTTTTGACACGATATATTGTGGCCAAATAGGAAGATCCGTCTCTACACGCATCCACGAGCACCAGTTGGCAGTGAAGAGACGTGACCGTTTGTCCGAAGTGGCTATGCATTGCCTGAACACAGCACATATCTTTGCATGGGATAAAACACGCATCGTCGGAGTTTGCCCCTCCAAAAAAGGTCGAGAATTTCTTGAGGCCATGCACTCCGATGATTCATGTATCAACCGGCGTATCAAGTTAGCTGAA